TATATATATATACACACACACACTATATATAATATATATACTATGATATATAATATATATATAAACTATATATAATATATACATAATATATATAAACTATATATAATATATACTACTGAAACTATATATATACACACACTATATATATAATATATATACTATAATATATATTATATATAAACTATATATAATATATACATAATATATATAAACTATATGTAATATATACTACTGAAACTATACATATATATACACACACTATATATAATATATATACTATAATATATAATATATATATAAACTATATATAATATATACATTATATATATAAACTATATATAATATATACTACTGAAACTATATATATACACACACACACTATATATAATATATATACTATAATATATAATATATATATAAACTATATATAATATACACTACTGAAACTATATAGTTTCAGTAGTAAAGATACTGAGTTTGATAAATATATATATGTATATAGATTTCTGTGTTCTCTATGATGCTAACCCGTTTGTTGTAATTGTTTAAGCTAGAAATGCCACAGTATTCCTGGAGTTTGTTCTTCTCCACTTTCTACATTGTCATCCTCCTCCTTCTCTCTTGTGCCCTTCCTGCAACTCCTTATCTCCTCTCTCTTCCTTCCTCCCCTTCTTCCCAGTCCTCCATCTTTTATTTCTTCTGCTCCTCTTCTAGGTAGAAAATGCTGTGGCATTCAGCTTCCCCACAAACTCTAGTCCTTGCTTCCCTGCCCTACTTCTGAACAAAACAGCAACAATGCAAGCAAATACCCTAACAGTCTGCTATTCCGAGTTTTATTCTTCAAATACCTATTTGCACTTTACCATTTACTCAGGCGACTTTGGGCAAATTCCGAAGCTCCATTTGCTTTAATTTCCGCTTCTGTAAAGAGGGCATAATAATAGCACCTAAGCCAGAAAGGCGGCTAGGAGAGTTCAATGCCAGTATCTTGAAAAGACTCAGAGCAGGGCCTGGCACGCATCAACATGATATGATTATTAGCTTTATTCATATTTCTTAGCTGTCATTGTGGTTTTTTGACATAAGAGATGGGGTCCTGCTATGTTGTCCAGGCCAGTTTTGAACTCCTGGGCTTGAGATCCTTCTGCCCCAGCCTCCCAAATGGCTAGCGTTACAGGCGTGAGTCATCACGCCCAACCCCTGTCATTGTTTTTATTACTGCTTCTGTTATTATTAGAATGTCTATTGTCTGTCTCCATTATTCACTACTATGAGAGATTATTTCAATTAATGTATGAAGTACTTTTAAGGTGGTTACTCTTCTGAAAAAATTAAGCAAGCTTTTCACATGTTTTCACAGGTAAATGTTTCTGAATTGGATACTTTAGAATCTCCTTTAAAAAGTTGAGTCTAGTTTTCCAGGAAGGATAAAAGACGTTTGTGGAGCTGTCCGGGGTTTCTGGAGAAACATCCCTAAATGGCTCTGTCAGTGCCATGGCTCTAAAAGAGTCAGGAATTTTTGTGGCTTGGTTGTTAAAATATTGGTAGCTTGAAATTGTCAATGATGTGAGGATTTGTACCACAGAAACTGACAAAAACCACAAATTAGGGCTCCTGTAACAAGAGAGCCCATTTTACCAGCATATCACTACATAGATTTTGCCAAAAGGTTAGGGTCACTATAAAGTCTGATGTCATGACAGAGCATCTTACTGTGAATTTTAACACATCTTGGGGTAAATTTTGCTTGTAAGGTTTAGCAACTACTATATGGATTATAAGTCAATATAATAGTTACCTGTAACCTCCGTGTTAGCCCCATCATTCAATCTCAAAGGAGTTTCCTTTGTGTGTTTTCTACTGGGTCTTTTGTATATTTCCATGTGTCTTTGAGTGATTTGTGGCCAAATGAAGTTTTTGAACTATCTTTTGAAAAGTTAAACACAAATACACTTATTCAATAAAAAATAAATACATCTTTTCAAAGAAAAATTTTCCCTCAATTTTAGAACCAAGTTAGGGCAAGCCAGATTTTTAGAATAATTCTTCAGTTTTACCTGTAACATTCAAACTGGAAGAAAATAGGATGAGAAAATATCTTAAGAGGCACTGAATATTTATGATGATAACAAGCTATAATTTCCTCTATTGAAAAACCTTCTCATAAAACGCAAAACTGGTTGCTTGCTTTTTTTTTTTTTTTTAACTTACCTAGCGAAAAACCACATGCAAGATCTTTTTGAAACTGACTAGTTCGCGGGTTCTACTTCCTGTTGTGAGGAGTAAAATCTATCTTAGATGCAATAAAGTTCTCAAAGATTGTTTTTGTTCTCTTATAAACCAATTTAGGTTTCAAATTCATGTATATTAAATGAAACTGAAACTCCCTGAATTTGTTATTTCTATAATATCCAGTCTGCTTCTGGTCAGGGAAAACAGTTTTAACAGTTAATAATTTGCTTTAGGAGAATTACTGTCAGAACAGGATTGACTCAATGACTCAATAACTAAGCTCCCCTTCCTACTTGAAAAAAAAAAAAAGCCTTTCGCTGAGTTGGGTGCCCACTCTGCTTGAGGTATTATTCTCATCACATTTTAGGCACAAGAACGTGGTGTAGACCAAGGGTTGGTCTTAGACAGAATTGAGACAAAGCTCACATTTTGGGGCTTTCCCTGAAGTAGCCCTATGGTTTGATGGTGGAGCTGGAGGGCCTTCAGTCCCAGTGGGTGTCACAAGGAATGGGTGGTGGATACTGGTACTCAGCTGGGAGGGATGGAAGGAGCATCACCTCCTCTCTGCCTTGACTGATCCCATTGCTGCCTTCCAGGAACCCTCCTCTCACTCGTTCATCAGAAGGCAGCTCTTCTTATTTGAACTAATGTAATTTCATCTTGTTCACTGGGGGCCTGAGCACTCTAGGAATGACTGTTAACAATGCCCTCTTCTCCCTGTTCCCCTGGCTCTTGGTTTGTCTTAAGTGCTCCTGGACCCCAGAGTCCCCAAATCCTGCCCGTCATCTAAATTTACTTATTCTCTTCTTTATCTTGAGTCCTAGTTCTCAGGTAAAATTTAGCCTCTCAAATAATACACATATTTATGCAAAAATATTTTTGTCAATTGGTACTAGTTGGGTTTTACTGATCTCAGAGAATTGTCATATCCAAAAAAGTCCTAGGAGATGATTTGAGGGAATGGTTGGAACTTTAGGCCACAAGACAGGTCAGTGGGAGAGATAATTGTGAAGTGAGGCTAAGACTATATCCTTTTCATGATAACATGCCTGGATTTTAGTAACGTGCCATGATTATAACATGTCTATATTTGCTTAAAAATTAAGGCAATTATTACCATCTTTATGGATGATTAATTTTGGGGAGGATAAATTTTACTCTAACATTTGTCAGATAAAATGTCATTGCAGTATTTCTTGGGATCTATATTTCTTAGGAAATACAATTTAAACACTTTAGCTTCATCATAAGTGCTGAAAGAAACAGAAGTCATACTTATTATAAAAATTAGGATTTTTTTCTGTTTACTAGACATAAAGAATTTGTTTATCTCAACAATATTATATTACATATACTCACATAAAGGAATGTTGTTCAGTTCTCAGAGGATTTTCATAAATAAATATTGCCAAATCTTTATAAGACCTATAGGATTAAAATGATTACCAATATCATCATTTTATAAATGAAGAAGCAGATTCAGAGAGGGCTACACAGTTAATAATTATAATAACCAGGAATTGATTCCAGCCCTCTGAATTTAAAGACTTTCACCATGTTATATCCCTTCTTCAAACACACAGTAGAACCATATACAAGCGCTACAAGATCAACAGTTAGAGATGCAGAATATAAGCCAGGCACCTCTAGAATAACATCATAAAATGCTGTGCTAAGCCTGCATACCACATTTTTAGAACTGCTTTTCAATTTCATACTTTTTCCCCTGAGTTCTATACCTGTTAACAGAAAAGGTGAAGTCTTTTAAACTTAAATCAATTCAGCTTACATATTTGTAAAGAAAAAAACAAATAAAACTTCAAGCCAAAATTTTTTTTCTCTTTCTACACACATACACACACGCACGCATGCATGCACACACGCACGCACACACATGCACACACACACGCACGCACACACATGCACACACACAAATATTTGAAAGCATTTAAAAATATTTTCCATTTTTGCTGATAGTTTGATTCTATGCTTGCTTAAAATGTATTGTGGAGAAAACACATGTTTCGTGCTATGTTGTCTTATGTCTGATTTGAAGATTTGAAGAGCTAATACAGAATAGTAGGTGGTAACTAATTTGTCTTCCATAAAACGTGAGAAATATTCAGAGATATTTAAAGACACAATAACAAATTTTAATTTGTCTGTAAGTAAAAATTTCCTGATAAGGAGGGTTGATTGCTAGTGAGTTCTCACTAAAAGAGGTTGTGGAATTTCATTTTCTGGGATATTTAATTCATGTGGTTTAGGTGTAACCCTATGTGGTAGCAGGACTATGAACTTAATAGTTCAAGTGACTCTAATATTTTGAGTTTGTAACAATTGTCTTCCAGGTTTATCTGAGTAATCACTGTTATTTTGAAATTGCAAAAGAAACAAGATATAGTTTTCCTTTTCTCACAAAAATGTAAAAGGGGAAATATTTTTTGATTTCGAAAACTTCCGTGAACACTGTGGTATCATAACTAAAGTAGTAGTGAGAGAGCAGCCCGGGGGTGGGAACAGGAAACATTAGTGATAAACGCTCTGTGCTCTGTGACATTCTTTTTTCAGGTTCAGCTCAATGTATATTGATTCTAATTAGCACATTTTGTGCCTCAGCTGGTAGCTCCCCGTTAGCTCTGCCTGGAGAGTTTTTTTTTAGATTCCATCCTGCTCATAAACACTGCCACCTCCTCCCTCCTTCTCTCTTTACAAATGTTACAACACAATCAGAAATTTCCTCTTTTCTTTCCTTCCTGCATTTTCAGCAGGTTCCCTTGCGTCAGAAGCCGAGGAGGAAAACTCAAGGTAATTCGATCTCTTTTGTTTCTTTATAAACCCTTTCTGTGTGCGTTGAGTGTGGCTTTTCTCCCGATGCTTCCTTGGGATCAGATTTCTGTCTGTCTTAATGCTAATATGAGGAGTGGATGGCAGATTAATTTTTGGTTATTCTTGAATCGGTTTTAAGAAATGATGATATGCTGTTCATTTTGATTAATCCCTCGTGGTGTGTTGAAAGAGCTTAGAAAAACTGGCAGTGAGTCGGGAAGTAGCTGTGTTTTGAGGTGGGCATTAACCCTTCACCATCTATTGCATAACTACTGCTGTTATTGTTGAGAGGAGCTACGTTACTGCACGGATATGCCTGCCAGTCTTACGATTTTAATTATTTTTAACTTATTCTTGGTGAATACTATTCTTAGACGAATACTTGCATATTAGTCTCGCTGCGCTGTTTCTTCGGCTATATCTTATACCTTCTAAGCATCAAATGAATGTTAGAAAACATTGCAGTTTATTTTCACTGGGAGAAAAAAATCAGCTGATGTGTTTTTTCTTTCTCTCTTTCTTTTCTTTTTTTTTTTTTTTTTTTTTTTTTTGCATTGGCTTTGCATAAATCCAAGTCCCCAGGGGGTAGGCAATTAAAAGCTGCCTTTCGCTGTATCACATAAATCAGAGTAATACTTTACCTATCAAATCAGGGTGATACTTTATCTACCTCTTCATGTAATCATTGCAGGTTTTCTCACAATGAGTCGGAGGAGGATATCGTGTAAAGATCTGGGCCACGCTGACTGCCAAGGGTGGCTGTATAAGAAAAAGGAAAAGGGAAGTTTCCTAAGCAACAAATGGAAAAAGTTCTGGGTGATGCTGAAGGGGTCGTCACTGTACTGGTATAGCAATCAAATGGTGAGTCTGCTTTCTTCCGCCTGGTCCCAGCCTCTTTTAACGAGGGGTAACGTAACGGCATCAGGTGATGCCATTAATTTTGATGGGAAAGTTAATTTCGATTTCTGGGAATCGGAACGGAGTAAATAATTTATAGAAAGCACTTCTGGTCCAGTAGGTATGGAGGTTATTCTGTTGTGTTTTATGGAGAAGAAAACCATCCTGTTTGATTACTCTTTGGTTGGGGAGGAGGGGAGTGTTGACATTTGTATTCCTGGTAAAGGAGACTGTTAAGTCCTGTTATTAATGTTACTACTTCACATGGGATTCTAATCATTTCAGGATTTATGTGGGCATCACTTAACAAGGCATCTTTACATGGTTAAGCTCTCTCTACTAAAAGGAGACTCAGCTTCACGACCTGCAAGGGTGTCAGTTGATTCTTCAGAGAAGCTTTTTCCGTTTCTCCTCCTTTACTTTCTTCTCCCCCTTCTTTCCCTCTGACCTTCTTTATCAGACGGTTTGGTTTGGAATCACTAACCCATATGCCAGCTTTGCAGTGGTGACTGTCACCTCTTGCCCCCTGATGTGCTCTGTGATGGCATTAAGCTAGTCATGCTTAGACAATGTAAAAAGATAGTTGCCTAGTTTATTCCTTTAAAAGTCAGGATACTGCTATGGTCTGCTTCCCGGGTTAGTTTTCTGTTGAAAATGGCTGGAAATAAAGTTATTGTTAAAGAGTGTGCTGATATTTCATGGCCTGGGTCATGTTGAAAATGATGAAGTTGTTGACTGTCGAACGAGGAGACATTTCCAAGGGGAAATGCTCTCAACAAGCCCCAGTGAGGTTTGATTGCTGCTTTCAGGAGAGCATGAGTCTCTTTGTGGCACTGTGAAGATCAGCATTGGATAGCTGTTAATAAAATAAAGGAAAAATACTTAAGAGTTGCTTATAAGCCAAGAATTTTTTTTGAGATGGAGTCTCACTCTGTTGACAGGCTCTGGAGAGCAGTGGCATGATCTCGGCTCACTGCAATCTCTACCTCTAGGGTTCAAGCAATTCTTCTACCTCAGCCTCCCAAGTAGCTGGGATTACAGGCACACATCACCATGCCCAGCTAATTTTTGTATTTTTAGTAGAGATGGAGTTTTACGATGTTGGCCAGGATGGTCTTGATCTCTTGACCTCATGATCTGCCAGCCGTGGCCTCCCAAAGTGCTGGGATTACAGGCATGAGCCACCACACCCGGTCCGGAAGTTCTTTTTATGTGACATTCCTTTTGTGAAATGACTTGGGCATGCCCATCATTTAAGCAACAGAGCTGTCCATCATGTAACTTTATAAATGCAAAGTAAGTACTGCATATTGTTTGTGGGCCAAATTTTTATTTGATAAATTTACATCCACCAGCTGCTAATCAGAAATTTTTGTTACTCATATACCTCTGGGCCCTTTTCATTAAAGATTTGGTTAAACCGAACCCAAATCCAATTCCAGTGCTTGGCATAAGAACACTCCTCTCTGCTCTTCTGCTCCCAAGCTATTGCTTCAGCTTCACCTCATGTAAAATGTGGCACAAATCTCCTCTTTGGGTTCCGTAAAAATAGATACTTTTTTCCAAGCATTTGGTGCATTATTACAACTTTATCAAAATTTTAAGGGATTCACAAAAAGTCACTGGCAGAGTGTGCAGTTTTCCACTGTCATCCTTTCCTCTTTTCTTCTCCCCTCCTGAATATATTCTTCATCGTGTCTAGCATGAAGGGTTTTACCCAAATTAAGGCAACCTGGGTCTGCAGTCTTGCCTTCTATTGTAAGAGAGTTTTCCTAAACAAATACAGCTTTTTTCTTAAGAGGAATTGAGGTGAATAGAAATGTCTCTTTCTTGTTTCATATTATTTCAGGCTCTTGTTTTTGGGTAGTTGTGGCAAGTGGTAGTCCTCTACATCTTTTATAACATGGGTGAACCTACTGATTGACTACTAATTAATAGTGGTCAGGGAATTTCCCGAGGCTGTGGAAAGATTGGATGCTGATGGAGCTTGGCATGTCTGTGGAAACTCGTAAAGCTCAGACGGAAGCAGGACGTTCATCTTCTCAGGCAGTCAAATTATTCAGCACATATGTTCTGGGTGCTGTCCCTGTCTTCACAGAATTTAAAGGAAGTCCTTCGGAACCACACAGGCTGCCAGATTGGGCTGGCTTGGCCCCATCAGCTCATTCAGCTTATGATGCTCTTAGAGGAGCAATGAGTTACCTATTTTAGGCATTAGGAACTTCATGCTTCCACAAGGAGCAGCAGTGTTGACAGACTAGGCTAGAAAGAGGAAAAGGACAGAGCCTCAGATACACTCACACATTCCTGCCCTGGCTTGCTTTCACGGCAATACAGAAAGGAGTATTCAGGTTGCAAAGAATGTACTTGAATACAGTTAGATTAGCAACATTGAATAGAGAATAAGCTTGCCATTATCTGGCTAGGGAACTATAGGATCAAATTAATGGCATGCAAACTAATGGTTGTAAAGCTAATGGTATGTAGAGGAATTCTCCCTCTCTTCTCCTCTCTACCCCCCCCCCCACAGGCCCTGAATCTTAATTATATGTTTATTGGGAGGGGGGAAAGGCTACTCAATGAATGCTTAATAAGCAGTCATATTCCTCTTGTCTGTGTGGATATCAACTGTGAAATAAGAGCCAAGCATGTCCTGTCAAACCAAGAAGCTTGTTTACTTTCTGCCACTTGAAAGAATTCAGATTCAACAAAGTCCCTCTCAAAGCACCTAAGTCTAAGCACCTAAGAGCAGAATTCTCATTCTACCTTCTATGTTCCTTAACCTTGGGGTAGGACCAGCCCGGTCCCTACACTTTCTTATGTAGCCTAAAGCTGAGAGGTAGCAGAGACCATAGCATCTTAGGAAGAACCACCTGTTGCTGTCTACCCTATGCCAAGGGATTGCTGCTTCTAGGTACCTTGCATATATGCTCTCATTTACTCCTCAAAAACACCCTGAGAGGTAGTAACTGTCTCCACATTTTGAAAGTGGGATAGACTGAAATACAGAGAGATTGTATAATCATCCCAAGTCACATAGTAGTAAATGGAAGAAAACAGATTCACATTTAGGCCCCTTGGACTCCCAAGCCCATGAGTTGGAACATGCCAACCTGAGTCCCTCTGAGGCCAGGATACATGACACAATTAAGACTGCCCTGTTTTCCTTTTTTTTTTTTTTTTTTT